AATCATCTCCGGTGTCATCGGCGGTAAAAACGGCTTAAGTCGTCGACCCTTCATATGATCAGAAATTTTCTCGGCGATCATAATCGTCGGCGCATTGATATTACCGGTGATGACAGTCGGCATTATGGATGCGTCCACAACCCTCAGCCCCTTCACACCCCTAACCCTCAACTCCGTGTCCACGACGGCTGTCGGGTCAGACTTGGGACCCATCTTACAGGTGCCGCACGGGTGCCACCCTATGGTGGTGTAAACCCTGGCCACGCACTGGAAGTACTGGTCCGAATAGAGTTTGTAGGGCTCGCACCCGGGCATCACCGTCTGGAAGGGCTGGGCGTTGAACCGTTGCATGGGTGGGGTCTGCGCCATACGGTAGGCCGCTTTCATTCCCTCCACCAACACGTTGAGGTCCTGGTCATCGTCGAAATACTTGGGATCGATGAGGGGCTGAGAGTAGGGGTCCCGCGATGCGAGGCGCACCCACCCCCTCGATTTGGGTCGCATTACCACCGCATAGATCGTGAATGTATTGAAACCGACGTACGGTTTGAAGAACTGTTTCCAAACGGATTTCTTGATGCCCTGTATTTTCTGTAACCTCAGCCCTAAATCGGTGGTTAGCGAGCCTATGGTCATCAAAATTGAAATGATTTTAATTCACATTTATTTTGTTTTTAGCTATTATTTTATGTGTGCAAATAACATGAGGTTTAGTATAGAAATTATATTAAATGTATTCTTTATGTTTGATAATAGATATGTTGATTTATTATTTATTTACTTTACTATTTATTTTATAATAACTAACAAAAATAATTACAAACTGTACCTATTATTTACTAGCAAATATATCAAACTTAAATGATGTTTATATTTTTAACTTATGGTTTATGAGGCTTTTTAAATTTTTAAAAAGTAATAACTTATTGACTAAACGTAGGAAATTAATTATAAGAATATGAAATTAATTTGATTAATAAGATATTTCTATAACATACCTGGTAGCATAAAAAGCTGTATATCGGGCCAGTCGTCCAACGGGTAGTTGTATTTGGTTTTTATATAACCCGTTCCCTCGTCTATATTTTTGGCCAAATTATTCTTGCGGAACAGGAAGTACTCCATTATATACCCGGGCTGTGACTCAGTCAACCAATTGATGCCAATTGTCTCGTTGACGGTGAAGAAGACACCGCTGGACACGTGCTCCTGAAGATTGTCACCGACCCTGATGTTTGATATCACAGGTATGCCCAAAGATTTTAGGTGTGCTTTCGGTCCGATCCCTGCGATCGATAATTATATAGGTTTTAGTTTATGGCTATACTAATGGTAATTATTTCGTGTATTAATTTAATAGATGCTTTAAAAGCAATTATTTAAAATGTTTATTTATAGCTAAATATCGCTTATTTTGAATATAAAGTAATTTTAATGTGTTTAATACATGAGTTTTTAAATATCAGTACTTGAACTAAAGTTTTATACATAATAATAAATGAAATGAAGTTATGATAGCTATAAAAATCTTATTAGAGCAATTTTAACAAAATAATAATATATCATAAAAGTATATATTTAGATCTTAATATAACTTATATTCAGATTTATTACCTGAATAATTAGCACTCTATCAATCAATTACTATAGTAGAGTATTGTTCATTATAATAAATTTTTTCATGAACCTAAATACATTTATTGTTACAATTTATTATAAAAATTCAAAGTAACATTAATAGTGGGTTCATTATAACTTGATTTACTGTTTCTATAATTTAATAAATAATTTTACATTTGCACTAGTGTATAAGTTATAAAATGAAATAAATACTAGACATAGCTTATGATTTATTACACCTATGTTTTTATATTAAACCACTTTTAAAGTTATTTTTCTTGCAAATTAGAAAATGTTAACAAATAATACAATACCTGAAAGCATGAGTATTTTCGGCGAATTGATAGCACCGGCAGATAAAATAACTTCCTTTCGGGCCCTAACCGTATAACTCTTGAACAGTCGGTCAAACTGGACCCCAACGGCCCTCTTGTGGTCATCAAACAGTATTTTTGTGACATAGGATTTGCTCAAAACATGTAAATTCTTACGGCCCGCCAGGGGCTCGATATAAGCCTTCGCCACCGACAACCGCATACCATCCCTGGTATTAATCTGCGGTATTGTGAACACCGACTGAGTCTCACCGTTGATGTCACCGATAGGTATATCCATGTGCTGCGCGGCACTCAGAAACACATTAGACATAACCCGCGGGTTATTCAAAGTGGTGACAGTCATGGGTCCGCCCACACCGTGATAGCCGTTGGCCACCACATGGGGGTCTCTATTGTCCTCAGACTTCACGAAATAGGGGAACACCTCCGGCCACGACCAGCCCAGCGCACCGTTAGATGACCACAGGTCGTAGTCACGCTTATTACCCCTGCAGTAGACCATTGTGTTGATGGTGGAGGTGCCGCCCATCACTTTACCCCTGGGCCACAGGGATACCCTACCATTCATACCCAGGCAGGCTTTCTTCTGGGGTATGGTCTCGAAGGACCAGTCCATAGGTGTGCGCTGGAGGTTCAGGCTATTCATGGGTACGTCGGATATGATATTCTCAGCCTTTCCCGCCTCCAGTAGTAGTACACTGACGTGCGGGTCCTCCGAGAGCCGGGCGGCCATTATGGAGCCGGCAGTACCGGCGCCTATCACCACATAGTCGTACTCGTCGTGCCATACGTTGCGCTTAATATACAACTCGTGATTCATTTGAGACTTTAGGATAATTACTAAGAAGACGGGTATTAGTGGCAGTAGTTTAAGACTAGAGCCCGAAGAGGCCAACGCTGTGGCCAACTGTTGGGCGATGAGTATTATCTGGTGGTGCATGTGATGAGACATATTCACTGGTGATGTCTTGGGAGGTGATGAGTATTATGTGAGTTAGGGATTGACGATCACTGAACACATTATGTAAATGTTTATGAGTTTAAATAATTTAAATAATTATTTGTCTTTTTACACACAAAAGCACTTTTGAAAACTTTTTTCCAATTATGATATTATATTTGCATTTAAAACACTGTTTGCCGCAACATCATGATTATAACATACTAACGGGTATTTAATGTTGTTTTTATTAATATTTAAATTTAATTATTACTATTGTGTGTTTAGTGTTGGAAAAACTTTTATTATTATAATAATAACCAAAAAGTCTTTTCCACTCCAAACTCAACACTCTATTCAAGAGTCAAAAGTCTTGTCCTAAATCTGAGAGCAAACTGACGGAGAGGTAGAGAGACAGACATGAAGTGAAAAGTGAGTGAAAAACAAACTTTTTTCTGTTTTCAAAACAAAACTTTTTGATCTTTGGCTCAAATTTTTGAGAGCCGTTAGGAATGAGCAACAAAAGAGCCAATGAATTCTCTCCCGTTATATAACTGTTATATAAATAAGTTTTTATTCATTTAATAAACAGAGAGTAAAAAAGATAATTTGATTTCTTTACTCTAAATACGAGTTTCTGTTTTTACTATCGATTTTTGCGGGTTTTGTTTGCTCTCTCTCTCTCTCTCTCTCCCAACCTTAGGGGCGAAAAGGATTTTCTCAAACGCTATAAACACAAAAATATTATTGATTGCAATGCATATAATTATGTCAATCTTATTGGGCACTAAATAGAGGTATTTATAGTAAAATTGCAATTTTTATTCTCGATAGCAGTTTGCGATTATATAATAGATTTTATAATAAAATCAAAAGTAAGTTAATTAATGTTTGAATTTTTTTGAGGGTATTATATAATTGGGCAGAAATGCTATTTTTGTTTCTTTTTATATTATTAATTCGCAATCAATTATTTGGTTCACTCTTTCCCTCCCTCCCCGCCTCTCTCTCTCTCTCTCTCTCTCTCTCCACTCCCTTATGGAAAAAATCATTAGTTTTTGAATTAATCCATTAGTTTATGAGTAAAAGAGCGTAGGGTTCTTGACTTTGACACCGGGCTCTCTATCTCACACATACAGGTGCTCAACAAAAAAAGGCTGGGTATGCCGTGAATAGAAACATGTAATAGTATTTAATTTCCAATTCATTGAAAATCCTTATCTGTACACTAAAAGTATAGTAGTATTTAAACTAACTTTAAGTCTAACACTCGTTATTACAGTTAAATGTAAGGCAATCATCAGTCATATAGTAAATAGGAGATTGAATTTGAACCTCAAAATTGAAGTTTAAAGCGGTTTTAATCACTCAATAAACGAACGGTTCTCTCTCTCTCTCTCTCTCTCTCTCTCTCTCTCCATCCCTGTACCCTCTCATACACTTAAGGCTAGGCTTTTAACCTAATTGTAGGTAAGAATGCACATAATATTTATAATAATATGAGTTGACATCCAATCAAAATTGATTCAATCAATTGCTTTAATTTTTTCATACATTTATTACTTCGGGTATTATTATTTGTATCTTATATTATAAATACATATAACTATAGATAAATAAAAATACAGTATAACAAATTTATAATACATTTAACTTTTATTAATAATATATCGAAATGAGTATTAGCTGTATACATTTCATTCATATGAATTTTTTGACACATAAAATGATTATTATTTAAATGATTGAGTATTTGAATATACAATCTGGTTGATCAAAATTGATTATCAAGTGTCTTGACATTCAGTGTTTAATCAAATAATCAAAACATTTCTATTGAAATCTATTATTAAATACTAATTTTATTTATTATATATTTTTTGCTTTAATACACAAAACTCATCGGATAGCGAAAAAAACATTTACAAAATACTCTTAAATCTAAATTTAGAGTAAAATTATGAATTGATATACATTGCATGTGACTATATTTTATTGTTTTTTGTGATGGATACGTAACCACAAATATTTAAGACTTTTAAATACTCGCACACAAACTTTGATCCAAATTATAAGTTTAGAAAAATGTTATATCAAATGAATGAACAAAACAAAAATTTATATTTAAATGTAAAACAGGTATAATCACTAAATTTAAGCATAAGTATTAAATGAAATCAAAGAGACAAAAAATATTTTGGACCACTTTTGAGAAATTTATTCAATTCATAGATTAATACACTTTATAAATAACATTCTCAATCAATAATGATTTATAGCAATATCATATTAAATTTTAAAAAAATACACCAAAAGTAAAGTCTAATTATGTTGACTAATATTGACGAATGTGTAGGATTTTTACTATTTTTATTGTTTTCAAGATATTTATAAGTTATTTATATGTGGATATCTTTTATAATAATGGTGTGGAATGTATGAAATGAATGCAATATGGGATTAGAGGTGATGAGAGGCTTATTGATAAACCGATGATTACTTACTTATTATAAAACTTTGTACATTTAGTATTAATAGAATAAAGGTATTTTTGATAAACACAATAAAGTTTTATTTAATTTATCAGTTAATCACTTATTTGTTCTGACATAAGGCTAGAAACTTATTTCTAAATTAAAATATTGTATTAAAATAACCGTAACATTGGCACTAATTTGACTGTGTTTATATCGTACTGCAGCATAAATCAGATTTTATTAACATAAATATTATGAAAAGTAAATAATTTTAATGAAAAATTGTAGCAATTTATAAATAAACTACTGTTTTGCATAGGACTAGTAGATAGTTAATCATGCGAGTCATTTATTTTTCATGAACACAATGAGGGCTCCCTATAGTATAATTGGCAATAACAGGAACAAACAGCACCGGCAGGCATTCCTAGCCATACCTGTGCTTCCATTTAAATACAAAAAGGAATATAAAGATAACAAACACATGAGATAAAAGTTATTTTAAAAACATACAGTTATGGCACTATTTAAGAGGTATACCTTAATTATCAAAAATTAAACTCTTTTAATAACTAGTATAACAGACTGAAATGCCAGTCCTCATACGGCATGTAAGGTAACCGTGCGATCATAGCCCTAGTCATCGGCGGTACAAACGGCTTAAGTCGGCGACCCTTCACGTGATCGGCCATCTTCTCGGCCAACATAATAGTCGGAGCGTTAGTATTGCCGGACACGACGTTTGGCATAACGGACGCGTCCACCACCCGGAGCCCACGCACGCCAAACACCCGACCCATGGGATCCACGACAGCACTGGGATCTGTTTTAAAGCCCATTTTACAGGTGCCCGACGGGTGCCACGATGTTATAGTATATACCCGGGCCATACACCTGAGATAAGGTTCTGAGTAGAGCTCCAGTCCCTCACAGCCGGGAAATGTGGTCTGAAAGGGCTGGGCGTTGTAAGCGCGAAGGGCGGGTGTTTTGGCCACTTTGAGGGCCAGTTTCATGCCCTCCACCAACACATTGAGGTCCTGATCCGAGTCAAAGATATTGGGCTCTATTAGCGGCTGAGCGTAGGGGTCGGCGGTCTCCAGTCGTATCCAACCCCGACTCCTGGGTCTCAATACGATGGGTAATATAGTGAACGTATGTAAGCCTACGTACGGCTTATACACCTGAGTCCATACATGCTTTTTCATGCCCTGTACCCGGTATAGCAATAGTCCGTAATCCGTGGCTAAAGTGGCTATGAATTCAAAAATAGATTAACATTTATATTTAGATTGAAATTAAATAATTTATTGTAAATTAGAAAATGTAATGTAAATTATGTATTGAATAATCTGTTCAATCGATTAGTTATTTTAAGTGAAATGTGTGCCCAAAATAGTTCATAAAAACTAATTAATAAAAGTATAAATAAATTGAAACAAAAATAATTAAAATATTTTTATGACTTTTACTAAAGAAGTGTTTACTAAACAAATCGTTAGTGAGTGAGTGAGTGTGTGTGTGTGTGTGTGAGAGAGAGAGTGAGAGCTCGAAAGGAAGTCATTCTGTCTGCCGGTGCTATCAATTCGCCAAAACTATTGATGCTTTCAGGTGTTTATGAGACAACAAATTATTTACATTTATTTAAACGTGTTTTTAAAACCACT